TATATACATATATATATACATATATATATATATATATATATATATTAATATATACACACACACACATTTGCATTTGGTTGCCTGTAATATAATATTTGTTTGCAGTGTGACATTTTGAGAAACAATGGGCCTTTGTAGAACACAAACACAACATTTTTGTATAAAATGCTCATAATTCACTCATATTTTGTGCCAATTAATTGAATGCAGATTTTAATGGTTTACACATAAATTCATTCTTCGTGTTTTATGAATAAGGCCATATGTGAAGAAGATTATAGAGGCATACACTCTTAAAAAATAAAGGTGCTTAAAAGGTTCTTCACAGCGATGCCATAGAAGAACCTTTTTTGGTTCCACAAAGAACCATTCAGTCAAAGGTTCTTTAAAGAACCGTTTCTTTCTTATCTTTTTATAATCTGAAGAACCTTCTTTCGCCACAAAGAATCTTTTGTGAAACAGAAATGTTCTTCAGATGTTCAATGTTCTTTATGGAACCATTTAGACAAAAAGGTTCTTCTATGGCATCGTGAAGCACCTTTATTTTTAAGAGTAGATACCAAATAACTTTCTTTCTTTCTTCCTTTCTTTCTTTCTTTCTTTCTTTCGTATTTGTTTGTTTGTTTGTTTGTTGCCAGAGTTGGGCAGAAAATACGGTATTTAACTGTAAATTTAAGTTAAAACAGTAAAACCTAAAACGTTGCTACCTTATTTTTTACGGTAAAATTCCGGCAACCACAGCTGCCGTTTTTTTACCGTAAATTTTACGGATTTTTTTTTACAGTGTAGGCTTATGAAAACTTTCTTGCAATCCTATAACAGGAATAATTGCAGAGAGCTTTTCTCCACTCTCCAAAGAGCTTGTTTTCTCCCGTAATGAAGTGCAATTTGTGAATTATCCAGATTATGTTAGAAAAGCGCCGGGCTGAATGGAAGGGAATCTGTCTGCGGATGAGGAGTCATGGCTTTAGAAATGAAATCAGCTGCAGCAGTTTTGAAAGGCACCTTTGGCCCCGTGGGTTGATTCTTGTCACTTCCCTGTCAACATCTGACAGCACAGTGTGTATGGAGGGGTCATACCGCTCAAGTACACAGGAAACAATGGCATGTTATATTAGAGAGGCTCCACTCTGCTTT